CTATGCTTATTATTAAATTTCTTTTATTTTAGTTTTATTATATTCTTCTTTTTCTAAACTTTCTTTAATTCATAAATTAGACCTTTTATCTGTTTTATTCAGAATTCAAGTAATTACTTTGTTGTTCATTTTTACCTCACCATTATTATCTAATAGTTCTTCAACATTAATTCTATAGCTATTACAGCAACATGACCATAAATCAGTTAAAAAAACAAATAACCCAAATTATTAACAGTAATGTTTATAATCTAGATTACTTTATACAAGTATTTATATTATCTATTTTGCCTCTTAACATATAGCTTTCTCAGGATTTTAGTTAATTTCTAACTGTTCTTTCTGCTTTTTCATTTACTTTATAATAATAACTGCTAGAAAAATTATAGCTAGTCTGTAAATATAAGATAAGTTCATCTATTATGCCATTCTTAAATTTAGTTTCTTGATCTAAGACTAACTCTGCAAAGTATTCATGCTGCAATATAACTTATTCCTATAGAAATTAGGCTATATTTTGTAAAGTTTTTCTTTTTAGGATCTATTTTTTTACAAAATCTGTTAAATCTTATATAGCAACAACTATGTATTTATGCCTAGTGGTTGTTCATAACAATAGTCCTATACAATCAATATATATTTTATTATAAATCCAACTTGTTGCCATTATGTATATTGGTTCAAGTGGCATTTTTGGTGCACATTTTTGACATATTTTACAAGACAAAATGTAGCTCTTAACATCTTCATATAATACTTTTATCAGCTATATATAATTTATTAGGATTTTTGAGTTACTAAGTTTATCTTATAATGTTTGCTTTCTTTTGTTAACCTCTTGTAATTTGTCTTAATGACTTGCACTTTTTTCGCATGCCTGAGTATTATTCTTCATGAAGGTTATCTTCTTTCTGCTTTTTTATATAGTTAATTACCAATTAGACAATATTTACATATTTTTCATTGAAGCTGTTTTAAGTTCATATCATTAACACCAAGAAGCCAGAAAAAGATTTTTAAATAGTTATGAACTACTTTTAGATCTATTAATTTGTCATTTGCTGTACTTATATATATTATTATTAAATTCAAAAACTTCTTATTTCTATTTGTTTTTTGCTCAGAAGAGTCTGACAATCTGAACATCTTATCAGCATTTTCATGTTCTCTATTAGGCTTGTATCATACATGAAAGTAGAAAGATTGTAACACAAAAACTCATCTTATAAGATGCCTTTTCAATATAGCTTTATTAAACAACTAGCTTAGAGTATAATGATCTATTCACTTATTTATATTGCAGCTAAAAACTATTCTTAGATATTTTTTTTCTGTTATACTGTAATTAATTTTCTGCTTGCTTAGTTTCTGAGATTCAAAAGATACTGGCCTTAATTTCTTTATTTCATTTTTTTGTTCTAGTATTACTCCTAGTGCAATATTACAAACATTTGTAAATAGTTGGTATAGACAATCTTTATCATATGCCACCTGCCAATTTGTCTTTTTTTTTTTTTTTGTTAAAGGCCATACTTGTAGTAATACTTTATTAACTTTATATTGGATTAGCTATTACAACTATTTTTACAGAGATAAGAGTACAGCTAGTTATATGTGCAACTTTTAATTGTCTATTTAAGTAGTTCACTCTAAGGTTCTATACTAGATGCTATACTTATAATCTACTAGAAAATTATCTATTTAAACCCTTTGATTATCTGTTCTGTTATATTGAAATCTCCAACTTACTAACAGTATATACCTAACTGATATACCATCTAAGCAGTATGGTTACCTACCCTTTTTGTACTAATTCTCAGGCCATTACACATTTTAGAGTACATCACCTGCCAGTAAGGCACAGAAGGCCCTCTGTTGTTAACTATCTATTCACTTTTAGAACACTAATATAGGCTACCCTTATAGAGTTCATTCAGACCCAAGTACTGACTTCATAGCATATTCCTAGTACTTTTAGTATACCTCTGCTTTGAACTTAGACTCTCAATTCAGATAGCTCAGAAGGACTATGACCTGTTCTTGGTATATTGAGGCTGTCCTTATATCCTTTTTCTTCAGTTCAAAATCTGGTGGCCTGGTTGGTAATACCTCTCAGTTGAGGTTCTTGCCTGCCCGAATCCTTCACATTGGTATCCATTTCCTAGGTCTAGCCTTTACAGTAGTACTGTTAAAGATTCATGTTACCTCTCTGCTCAGAATTTCTAAATATGCTCTGGCTTTTCAGTTATACAGATTTACATGTCTCAAGGACTTATTTTAGGTTTGCACTTTCTAGTATCGGTTTGCATTCCTCTGTATAACAGGTTATACAAATGCCTTAGATCTGCCAGTCATGCTGGTGCAACCATAGTTACAGATATCCTATCCCAACTGATCAACAGAATGCTGTTGCCATAATACTGTCTATATATTATATAGATAATTATCCAAATTTTACTATCAGTGGGTTTGGAACTCACAACCTACCACTTGGGGGTATGACAACTTATCCACTTTACTAAGTTGCCATACCCTATAATTTGGCTCTTTTAATACAGCTTCATTCAATAAATAATTTTTTAATATATAGAAAACCTCAATTTGTTATCTATTCTACTAAAATCTAATTTTTATTCTTGTCAAGTTAGTCAATAATTTCATAATTTTGCTAAACTCTTTTATAAATTATTAGTAATAGTTCATTATCTTATAAATGATTGGACCTGTTTAAGATTTGTTGGCTTCTTCCAATTTCTAATTCTTTTAACCTATTTTGAATTTATCTTAACTTTCTTTTTGTTGATTATGAAACTATACATATGCAACTTCTTATATAAAAGAAAGCATTTTTTTACTACAAATATCAATCTAGTGTCTTTAAATTTCTTGGCTAACTTAATAAACATCTCAATATAAAATTTACTTGACCTATTAGTTTACAACTCAAAATTATTTTGGTATGCTTTGTAATTCCTCTATTCTTTTCTTTTTAATAGCATGTCTATTAAATTTTGAAATGTCTTATTAGTATTTTTGAAATCTATGTATATTACAGCATATCAGATTGTATTCAATGATGTTGAGATAGCAACTTTGTTCTAATCTTTCTCTCAGATATGAATTTGCTAGTACTTTTTGAATACATCCATGCTTAAGTACCAATTATGACTAGTTACCTTTTCTAATATATCTTTTATTAATAACAATAAATAAGTATTTTTAATAATATATTTATTAAGAAGCCTCATATTACCAATCATGTGAAAATAGTTTGTGTCATTTTTCTTCTTTTTTACTAGAAAACAATAGTAAGTGTATTGTTCTATTCTCTTTTCAAATAAGCTGTATTTTAATATCTTCTTTAAGTAGTCTTCAAACAGATTAGTATGTTTTAAGTTATTAATTTGTATAAGGCACATGCACATAGAAGGTATTATCCTTTCTTTTGTACAAACTTCATATTGCACCAAATCAGTCCTTCCAATTTCAAATAAATCAAAAACAAATACATCTAGTATATTCTTAATCAACTATTAATATAATTGTTGCTTTTCTATTTTAGACAAAAAATTACTGATGTTTATTATATTGCATTTTTTTTTTATGTTATATTATCAGTTTAGATCCTATTTACTTAATTGTTTCATTAATGTTTTCATTATTTTTACTAGCACATAACTTTTCTTTTACTGTATATTTACAGTCAATCATATGATTACTGTTTATGTTATCAATTTTTCTAACTACTATGTTGTTAATATTAAAGCTTCTCTTTACAATGCTTTCTAATTTTTGCTTTATATTTCTTAACTTTTGTTTCTTGACTTCTATACATCATATTTTTAGTAATTCTTCAACTGCTTTTTGCTTTATTCATTTTTATTATTTATTCAACTAGTTAGTATTATCAAAGCTACAAATGCAGCTTTTCCTTTCTCTGATTTAACATTGCATTATAGTTTGTTATCTCTCTATTTTAGACTATATTTGGATGCAGCTAACAAGAGTATCTTTAGTAAAACATCAAAGCTTGTAATCTTTATAACATAAAACTCTTAGTGTATAATGATGTTCTTTATATCTACTTCAATATTTGTAATGTATTCTACAAATTTACTCAAATAATTATCTGCTATTCATCCTTTTTTATTAGCTAGTTGCTAAATAAATTTTTATTTTTATGCATATTTCTCATGCATTAAATTCAAACATGACCCTGGGTTCATAGATGCTGAAATCAATTTATTATTAATTTTAGATATGCTTATTGGCACATCATCTAATTTTAACTCATTATTTTTAAAAACTCTTTATATGATTCCAATCTTCATATTCATAAAAAAAACTTCTTTTTTTTTTTTTTTTTTTTGCCAATGTTTTTAATACTTTATTATAAGCCTTAAAAGACTATTTGAACAGCTGACCTAATATAATAGTTATTTTCTTTTTAGCAATTAACTTAAGAATATCAATTTCTTGAGTCAACTTAGTTATTAGTATATATATAACTGATTCTTTAACAGAACTCACATTATTATTCACTCTAATAAGTTCAATCAAATTCATTTTTTTTCTTTTAATTGCATGCTTTACATCATCTATATTTGAACACCACCTCTTACCAAGATTTCTAATATTAAATAACACTATATTTTTCTTTATTTGTATTATGAGGTATTCATCCTCTTTTGTCTTTGCCTTTTTCATTATCTTAAAAAATCTCATATTAGTATTTCTTATTTTCAGATTTTTTGTTTGACAATTTTTGTTTAGATTTAATCAATTTGTTAATCAGTTCTGATCTAAATGATTAGAACAGTTATATAACAAGTATCCTTCTTAATTACATGTATAACACTTAAAAATAAGTTTTTATTCTGAGTTTTATTTTTACTATTTTGTATTGTATTAGAGAAAAAAAACCTATATGAAGATAGGTTATATTTATTTTTCATAAGATTTTGCATGCTCTTTAACAATTTTATAATGCTTGTTTTTATTCAATTTAATTTTTCTAAATTTGGGGGATATTGATTACCAATATAACAGATCTTCTGAATAGCTGAAAATTTGTCAGCTTCTTTTTTAGTCAAATTACTTTTCTTATTGTCTATAATTTGAACTAGATTTTTGTTAATGTGTTTTTTATCATAGTCATTCTTCTCTATTTTAACTGTCAATTCTTTGGCAGCTTCATACATATATGAGCACAAACTAGCAACTCTTTCTTAATATGAATTTTACAAACATTAAATATATTATTCTTTTTTTTTAAGATTCTTTACTTAATCTTATACTTCTGTAACATATTGTTAACATTAAAATTTTTACATTTTTAATCATAACTTTTGATGTACTAAACCAAATTAGATGAAACAACTACTATTGGATTCAGCTCATTGAGGCAGTTCTAATGAGCACAAAATTATGTAATTCTAATCACAAGATCACAAGATCAGGACAATTTTGATAAAATACTAAATTTAGTACATGTGACTTAGATATAAATAGCTAAATTAACTAAGTCTCTAAAAGCATGAAAAGTATAAAAAGCATAGATATCACAGATATCACAGATATTACAGATCTCAAATAAATTATATATATATTATTTCTTAGTCTTCTTTTATATATACAATATCTTTTATATATAACATATAGCATATATCTTTTATATCTTTAATATTTCTTATTATATATTACTATATTTAGCATATTCTATTAGCTTTATTATAATTATTTATACATATAAAATATTTATAAAAGCACTGTTTTCTGACCCTTCAAGAAAGTTAAATATCTTTATACATTTTATAATAAATAAATTGAATACAATATTTAGTATCTTCATATATTATCTATTGTTACTTCTGCTTTAAAATCCCAAATCACTCTGCATTTTGTTAAGTCTTATGTAGACTTTGTATAGAATCTGTCAAGTTATAGTTATTATACTATAGTTGAGCAGCTTTTGTTATTGCTGTAGTTAAAGAAAAACTACAGATTAACAATATATATTAAAACAACTAGTATATATCTGAACTGTATTCTTTGTCTTCTGTATCATGTTTTTTAAATATTTCAATTCTTAGTTTAAGTTAGATAAAATTGCTTACCTTTTTATCATAACTGTTCTTAAGTCCATTCAACTAGAGTTATTTTTCTTTAACTACATTATTGACAGTTTCAGCCTATCTGCTATATGTAATATAACTATCAGATTTTTTTTGTTATCATTCCAATCCTTAGAGACTGCATATACTTTGAAGTTGACTAAAAATTTTTCAATGTTTTCATACCTGATATAGACAGGTTTTGTAGAATCAAATATCCTCATGATTATTTAGATGTTGTTACTAGATATTATATAAGTTCTTTTACTTATTGTTATTTACTACTATATAAACTTCAAAAGATATTTATTTAGTGTACTTTTAAGTTTGCTCATCTAATACTTCAATTTATCACTATTAAATTTTTATTTTTATTTTGCACAGTACCTATTTACATTCTAGTACTAGAGTATTTATTATGTGACTTGTAAGACAATTTTATTTTTTTTTAATTTTTATTTTTTTTTAAATATTAAGGTGAGTACTTACAATTCAGGATTTTATTAGTAATATATTTGGCTAATAGATGTTTTACAACTACAAGGGGCAACCATGAGAAGAGTGTACAACTAGCCACTTGTACAACTTTAGTTATTGTCTAATTTAAGTAGTCTGTCCAAAAGTTCTACACTAGCTGCTATATCTGAAACCCACTTGTAGATTCTCTATTTAACTATTCTGTTTCCATATCCACTCATTTACCTCTGTCTACTAATGACCCTGACTGATGCCAGTGAAAATATGCCATGGCCACTAAGTTTTTAAAGCAGTTTACTCATATAGAGAACCTTTGACCTTGTACTAAACCTTTCAGAATCTTCTGTATCCCATTCTTACAGCTGACCTGATATCGCTATGGTTGAGACTAATACTAGCAGTCAGGGCATATCATTAAACTGCTAAGCCCTTGTAGAATTTACTCCAACCTTGATACTGACTTCACAACATATTTTTACTACTTTGGTATTCAATTCAAGTTCCACCAAGCTGCCATTCTAGATAGCCTAAAAAGGTAGGTCAAAACTATACACCTCTGGTTCACATGTTTGCTAGCATGTGATCTTTTCCTCTAAAACCCAGAAATTCTGGTGGCCTGGTTGGTTCATCCAGTCCCTTCTCAAAGACTAGCATATTTGCCTAGTTTTACAAGTTCTAGCTCCATTTTATAAGTCTAGTTTTTATATTAGCACTGTTGAAGGTTCAGGTTACCTCTCTACTTAGGTCTTCCAAGTGAGCTTCTGTCTTCCTATTTGGTTCCTGTGATTTACATAGCCTAAGGACTTATCTTGAGTTCACACTGCCTGATACCAGTTTGTGTTTCCTCATACAATATTGTATAAATGCCTAGACCTTTCAGTCATGCTGGTATGACACAGATTACAAGTATCCTATCTCAACCAATCACAAAAGACAGTTAGCCATAACACAGAAAGAATTGCAAATTTTTGCCATTACTAAGATTTGAACTCTAGACCTGCCATTTGAAGGTTGACAACCTATCTATTTCACTAGGTCGCCACACCCTCTAAGTCAATTTTATTTCATTATCTCATTTTTTATATTCTGTTAATAATCTTTAAAATGCACTTCTGTGCTTGCTTAGGTTCTTCTGTTATAGTTATTTTAATCTTTGGATTTTACTTTTGAACCAAGAAGACAGTACTACTTTAATAAATATATATAAGTTTTTGTATGCTTCTTTTTCTTTCTTTTTAGATCAAAAGATACTAATTTTTTATTTTCTTATTATTGCACTTTTATATTTTTATTTTAACTATTTTATTACATTATATGATCTTAGACTTTTTTAATTAATTACATAATTTATAGACTATATAATATTTGACTTTCTTAATTATATATTTATTATGCAGCTTAATTGATTCTTAATTTATCTTTGATTATACTATAATTTTTTTTTTATTTTATTTATTTTTTTTTTTTGGAGTTAAGGTGAGGTCATGCCTTAGGTCTGTTTATTCGAACATATTGTTACAGTTTGTACA